CTTTTTTAAATGTAAAAGAAACTTTAACAGATATTCAAAATAAAAGAAATTTATTTTATAGAAAAAGCCAAATCATTTTAAAGAACCCTTTTATCACATCATCCCTTTAACACGATTCTCATATCCTCATTCTGGCGCCTCAACTTTTGCATGCCATTCTCTTGTACTTCTGTTCGCTTTTTCCCATCCAATCTGATTGCTGATTTGCAATCACGCATTTTTTTTGCCTCATCAGGAGGAGTTGCGGGTTGCTAAAGAAGTCGGAGTACGGTTAAACAGTGAATTAGATCTTCTCGATGAGAAACGGGCCTATCATGAAGAGGAGAATCGGCAGCTGAAGGAGGAGCTGCAATGCTCGCAGCAGCGACGCATTACTCTAGAAAATGAATTAGGTAGAATGCGACTTGAGGTGAGACAAAACAAGAGGCGCTTTATTCCAGTTGTCTATGCTTGAATATTAACTAATTGATATTTCAAAGAGTTAATCTAGGAAATATACTATATTAAAAATGATACTACTTCTACTTTGACAAGTAACGTTTAGCTGTCTGTGAACGAATAATTGTATACGTATAGATACGTAGAGTAAGTGGGTTTCGATTAATCTCATGAGATAAAATTGATGGGGAGACATTCATTTCGTACGAATGGACATGAAGAAGAGATTCGTTGGTTGATCTCATCATAAGGCAACGGCTGATTTTTGTTTTACTGCAGCCGTTTGGCTTTAGTACGACCTTCAGGACTCACAGACTTATGTTGTCTCGGTCAGGACTTTTTATTGGGTCATTAAGCTTTGATGAGCAGAGCCAGACATGTGCCTTTTCTGTTCACTTTGATTTAGGACTATTATTGCATATAGATATTAATCACAAACACATACAGTCGAGCAAAAATAGCAGGACTAGTATGAAAGCTAATTAGCCAAACCATCATATATTTATCTATGCCTATTCGTTTTAGTTCTTTATTTATGAGTATATTTAAGATGTAAGATGGGGTAGGATAATCTTCTTGACCAAATGTTAATGTGATACCTTTACAAGAATTAATTCGAGCTCTGATGATGTTCATCGCAGCCAGTTTTCACCCGAAAATAGAGAGGATTTGTTGTAGACTACGTCAACCGGAACGTTGTATTAAAGCCAAACGGCTGCAGTACAATGGGATTTAGCCGTAG